CCAGTGCTGCTGTCCGTGCTGCTGGTGTTTTTAGACCCTCTCTTTCTCCTCCCTCTACCTCTCCTCCCCCTCCCCCTCCCTCTCCTCCCTCTACCTCTCCTCCCCCTCCCCCTCCCTCTCCTCCCCCTCCCCCTCCCTCTCCTCCCTCTACCTCTCGTCCCCCTCCCTCGTCAACACTCAACGCTGCAGTCATCCTGAGCACCTGTGCTTTCCACTGCTCCCGAAGCAATGCCTCATCTTCCTCCTCTTCATCTTCCTCCCCCTCCTCCTCCGCCTCCTTGCCTTCATCCTTCTCGCTTCCCCCCTCTTTCCCACCCTCCTCAGCTTCCTCCCCTTTCATCCACCCAATCTCCTCCGCTTCCTTCCCCCTCCCCACCTCATCCTCCCTCTCTTCGGTCTTTTCCTTGTTCATCCACTCACCCTTCTCGCCTTCCTTCCCCATTCCCCTCTCAGCATCCTCTTCGTTTACCCACCCAGCGTGTTCCCTAGCAGCAGCACTAGACGCAGTTCGAGGCTCCTCGAAACTAGCAGCAGCACTAGGCGCAGCATGAGCAGGCATGATAGCATGGGCAGGGGTGGCGGGTAGGGGGGCAGAGGTAGCAGGTAGGGGAGCAGGGGTAGCGGGTAGGGGCGCAGGGGTAACAGGGAAGGTGGTGGGGGCCGCAGGCAGTGAGGCAGGGGTAGTAGGTATTGGCGTAGCAGCAGCAACAACAGGAACAGCAGCAGCGGCAGCAGCAGGAGATGCAGCTATGGGAGCAGCAACAGAGGAAGAAAGGGGCGGGACAGTAAAAGGGAGGGCGTTTTGGCTCCCCGGGACCAGCTGTGTCAACATCCCTCCTGCCCCTACTCCTGCGTTTTGGGTGCCCGGGACCTGCTGCACATGCTGTAGCTGCCCTTGGGTCGACTCAGTCGACTCACAAAGAGGGACGGTAAGAGGGAGGGCGTTTTGGGTGCCCAGAACAAGCTGAACGCGCTGCAACTGCTCCAGCAGTTGCATCTGCAGCAGCTGCAGCTCCTGCATCGTTGGCATCCCTCCGGCTCCTGTTGCTGCTGCTGATGTTGCTAGTGGCGGTGTTGCTAAGGGTGGTGCTGGAAGGGGTGATGTTGCTGCTGCTGATGGCGCAACCTTTGCATCCGTTCCTTCTGCTTCTCCGGCTGAACTGACCAAGTGTGCAACCGTGTTGCTGGGAACATTGTGAATAATAACCGTATTATCAGTAACGTTGTAACGGGTACCAGTGTCGTTGGTAACATTGTAACGGGTAACAGTCTTGTCAATAACCGTGTCGTTGATAAAGTTGTCCCCAACGCTGCTCTCAGAGGCAGCAGCTGCATGATCGTCAGTGGTGCTGCTGCCACTATAGATAGGTACCAGGGCCCCTCCTGTGCTCCCTCCCAGTTCTCGCCCCAATTGACTGTGCAGTAAATGTGGCTGCTGCTGATTCTGCTGTTGTTGCAGCTGCAGCTGCTGTTGCTGCTCTTGTTGCTGTTGATGCTGATAAACCCGTTGTTGCTGATAAGCCTGTTGCTGCTGATAAGCCTGTTGCTGCTGTTGCTGCTGATAAGTCAATTCTTGCGGCTGTTGCTGCTGATTAGCCATGTGTTGTGGCTGTTGCTGCTGATAAGCCTGTTGCTCCTGATAAACCTGTTGCTGCTGATAAGCCTGTTGCTGCTGATAAGCCTGTTGCTGCTGATAAGCCTGTTGCTGCTGATAAGCCTGTTGCTGCTGATTGTGCCAGTGTTTCTGTTGTTGCAGTTGCTGCTGCTGATATGTCATCTGCTTCTGCTGCTGATAATAGGCCTGCTGCTGCTGCTGCTGCTGCTGCTGCTGCTGCTGCTGCTGCTGCTGCTGCTGCTGCTGCTGCTGCTGCTGGCTGAGTCCTGACGGCTGCTGGTTGAATCCTGACGGCTGCTGGTTGAATCCTGACGGCTGCTGGTTGAATCCTGACGGCTGCTGGTTGAATCCTGACGGCTGCTGGTTGAATCCTGACGGCTGCTGGTTGAATCCTGACGGCTGCTGGTTGAATCCTGACGGCTGCTGGTTGAATCCTGACGGCTGCTGGTTGAATCCTGACGGCTGCTGGTTGAATCCTGACGGCTGCTGGTTGAATCCTGACGGCTGCTGGTTGAATCCTGACGGCTGCTGGTTGAATCCTGACGGCTGCTGGTTGAATCCTGACGGCTGCTGGTTGAATCCTGACGGCTGCTGGTTGAATCCTGACGGCTGCTGGTTGAATCCTGACGGCTGCTGGTCAATCCCGTACACCTGCCGGTCCGACCCTGACGACAGCAGGCTATCACGAGACAACTGCCGGCTGATCCCTGACTGCTGCGCTCGCACACCATACTGTTGAGCCCTCTCACCGTATTGCTGAGCCCTCTCACCGTACTGCAGATCCCTCCCACCGTACAGCAGAGGCCTCTCACCGTACTGCATCCCCTGCGCATACTGTACCCGCCCCCTTCCCGAGTCACCTGCAGACGACTGCTGGCTAGCGCCCGAATCTTGCCGTTCCAAGCTAGACTGACGGGGGTGTACCCATCCGTGCGACGACTTTTGACTAACCCCCGAACCTTGACGACCCAGGCTGGGCTGAGGCTGTACCCATCCCTGCGATGACTGTTGGCTTGCCCCTGACCCTTGACGACCCAGGCTGGGCTGAGGCGTTACGACAGTTCCGCAGCCTGTGGCTCGCCCGTCGGCTTTCTTTTTGAACACTTCGGTGTATATGCCATCTTCATCCCCGTTACTAACAGCCCCGTTTGGCGCGCCTGCGCGGGTCTTTCCAAGAGCGGGAGCGTGAGTGGCGGAGGGTTTGTTCTGCCAGTCGCCGAAGGAGGGGAGGGCCACGCTAGCGGCCGATGCCTGACAGCAGTGTAAGAAGACACAAGACAAAATCTGGATCCGTTAAGCAAGAACATTATAGGTAGGACATCAACAATTTAAAAAAAAAAAAAAAGGATTTTTGATGCGGGATATTTTAATAAGCGGTTATAAAGAGGTAATATGAGCACATGGCGACATGAAAGATTGCGCCAGGTCCAACCGTGAGAACAAAAAAGTGGTGTCAGACGGGACATCGGTTACAGCTCTTCTACCTCACTCTTTTCGCTCTTCAGTCTCATTATAGTCGCTCTTCTGTTTCATTATTGTCGCTCTTGTAACTCCTATTGTCTCTCATTATTGTAGCTTTTCCTCGCGAAAAAAAAGGCATACCTTCCCCTTAAGGCGATTCTTGAAGACGATGCCTCCCTTTCTACTGCTGACGTGGCTGGCGGCTGACCCGGAGCTCTCACTGGAATTAATGCTTCTCGCATCATCCTCCATGATGGCTTTGTCAGAAATGACACGTGGCTGTAGATATAGAGAAAGGGCTCTTCGGAGAATGACACGTAGTTTTCCGAGAATATATCTTCTAACTTCGAGAACGAGTCCGTGACCACAGTACTAGCACCAAGTAGCTTTCTCGTAACAAGTGGAGGAACGGATTAAGTTGTTATCGAGATTGCGAGTGAAAGCAGACAGCTCAGGCTAGACTGTGGTGAGAAACCGAGAGGCGAGCTAGGAAAGGAAATGATGGAACGACGGGTTTATTCCAGCTAAAGAGAAGACGGAAGAAGAAAGCGAAAAGCGATAGATGACGTCGATTGGGAAAATATGGCAGGAGAGTGATAGTGGTGCAGGAAAAGGATTGATGTGCTGCTGAGCAAAAGCCATGTTGTTATGAATGAACTTGCAGAGTGCGCAGTAAAACGAATATCGAGAATGAATGACTACTGAATGACGATACAATGAAAGTGACGCGAATTTATAAGGAGAATCCTAGCTAGGCGAAGGGTTCGGGCTAGGATGGCTCGGAAGGTTTTAGTTTTTGTCATCCCTTTCCGATTGGGTTTTAGTTTTTGTCAGCGTAAAAAATTGACACGTGTTGAAACTTTTGAGTGGCAGTATGAGTCGTGAACATAATCTGGTATGTGTTTTGAACAATTTGTCGGAAAGCAGTAGTGTTCGAGTAAACCCAGAATGAAATTTGAACGGTTTTCAATAACCAGGTAGCCAGCACATACTTTCCCAAAGAAATATGTCGAGGAAACACCTGAGGAGCACGGGTTCCTTTTTAGGGTGTTCCAATCTCTTTTAAAGGCTTTTAGTTTGGTGGGCTGCGGTTGAGAACTGCTTGACTGTCCGACTGCGAATGCTTCAGATTGGCGATTGGCGATCGTCAGGCACACGTGGGGAAAGCTGACGGTTGGTCGCCTGGAGTCAGGAAATATCAGCCATCATCACGATGTCGTCCGTCCATTATCAGCCTTGGGAAACGCGCGATTCCTAATGGAGACCAATATCGAGGACGAGAATCCGATTGGTTACGAAACTTCTGAACGGTGCCGTGCGTGATTCGTGGGGTGACCTGTCATTCTAGCGAAATGTACGGATCCTAAAAAATGATATGAAAATGATTGTACAGAAGACATGGAAATGATCGGCGCACGACTTATACTACCATAAAAAGAACACAAAAAATAAAACCGAATGTTCAGTCCGCTTTATTCTTAGTAATGTCCAGAGTCATAAAGCCAGACGCCAGCCGATTGGGTGATCGGTTGAACTAAACGACCAGCATAAGCGATGCGCCGACTTTTCCAGTCGCCCTCGTCGCTCCCTCGCCAGCAGCGTCGCACGCCAATCGCCAGCGGTCGTTCGTATCGCACAAGCCGTGCGACACGCTTCAACGCATTCTTCTTCCTCCTGGTGCTTTCGCTCGGCGGCTCCCTGATTCTGCTCTGGCGACTACAGCTCCAGCAGCGGTCGGTAACGGAAAACGGAAACCGTCTAACGCTGTCAGAAAAAGTAATCGAGGCGAAAGTAAATGCAGGGAAGACAGGGCAAGCGGAGAATAAGGGTTCTGATAGCACTGGCAGCAGCAGCAGCAGCAGCAGTAGCAGCGCTAATGGAGGAGACAGTAATTTAAATACGCCCTTATTGGATGCTGACGCGGATGACGATTACGATGACGGGGATTTCTTATCCCTTGGATCCACGGATGCCACGTCAGAAGGTGCAGAAAAAGACGGGGAAGCAGCAGGCAAAATAGCCGCGATTGGCGGAGAGGATGAGAAATCTGCAGATTCGATTCGCAAGTACGAGATCTGCAAGAGATTGATTCAAAGGCCGCCGCTCGTGTGCGCGCATGGGGGCGATTCTTCCTCCGCCCCTCCCAACTCAGTGAGCCGTTTCCCCTTCCCCCTGCCCCTTCCTCTCCCCCCTCTCTTGCCCTCTGTCCGTCGCCCGTTTCCTCCCCCCCCCCTCCCCACCTCCCCGCCGCTTGTGTGCGCGCATGGGGGCGATTCCTCCTCCGCCCCTCCCAACTCGGTTAGCCGTTTCCCCTTCCCCCTCCCCCCGCCTTTCCCACCCCGTCCCCCCCACCCCCATCCCTCCCAACTCGGTAACCCCCTCTTTTTTTTGGGAGGAGGGGGAGCAGGGTGGGGAGGGGGAAGGTGGGGCGAGGGGGGGCAGGGAGGGTGCTCATTCCGCACCATCCCCCGTTGTTGTTAATTCAGTCTTCCTTCTTTTATTTTCTTCTTTTCCGCCTGCCCGTTTGCCAGCTGGCAGCGCTCGAGAGGGCGGTGGCTGCGGGGGCAGATGCGGTTGAGGTGGACGCGTCACTGACGGCTGATGGACATTTGGTGGCGCTGCATGACAGGTGGGAGAAGGAGGGTGGTTAAGGGGTGTATGTGCCGGTACAATGTGTTGTTGATGGTATGATGTGTGCCAGTATGACGTGGTGTGGTGGTGGGAGTAGGGGGGCAGATGCAGTGGAGGTGGACACGTTACTGACGGCTGATGGGCACCTGGTGACCCTGCATGACAGGTGGGAGTGGTACCTGCTGGTATCTGCTGGTATAGTGCGGTGGGGATAGTTTTACGCAGATGCGGTGCAGGTGGACGCGTCACTCACAGCTGATGGACGCCTGGTGGCGCTGCATGACAGGTGGGAGGGAAGGGGACGGGGGGAAGGGGCACAGGGGTGTGTGTGTCGGTACAATGCGGTGCAGAGCAGATGGTGTGAGTGATGTGTGCCAGTATGACGTCGTGTGGTGGCAGGAGGAGAGGAGGTGTGTGTGTGCCAGATGTGGTGGAGGTGGTCGCTACGCTCTCTGCTGATGGGCACCTGGTGACCCTGCACTGCATGACAGGTGGGAGTGGTACCTGCTGGTATCTGCTGGTACCTGCTGGTATCTGCTGGTACCTGCTGGTATCTGCTGGTACCTGCTGGTATCTGCTGGTACAGTGCGGTGTGGATAATTTTAAGCAGATGCGGTGGAGGTTGCCGCTTCGCTCATTGCTGATGGGCATTTGGTGGCACTGCATGACAGGTGGGAGGGGTATCTGCCGGTTTAGTGCGGTGTAGATGGTGTGATGTTGGGCACATGCGGTGGAGGTGGGCGCGTGTACCTTACTGCAGATGGGCACATGGTGGCACTGCATGACAGGTGGAAGTGGTACCTGCCGGTACAGTGCGGTGTGGATAGTTCTACGCAGATGCGGTGGAGGTGGGCGCGTATCTTACTGCAGATGGGCATCTCGTGGTGCTGCATGACAGGTGGGAGAGAAGTGAGGGGATGAAGGGAGAGAGAGCGAGGGGAGGAGGTGGGCTCATGATCTCGTCTCTTTGGCCTTCAATCTCGCTCCTCCCCCCCATGCTTCAACAGAGAGGTGACTTCTGAGTCGACTCAAAAGTCATTTGGCCTTCAATCTCGCTCCCTCCCCCCATGCTTCAACAGGGACGTGCAGTGCAGTCTCAGTCTCTCCTTAACGACCCATCAGCGCCGGTCCCCTCCCTAGTGTTCTCTCAAATACGCCATCTTGACCTCTCGCCTCTCTGGCCCCCTCTGATCCCCCCCCCCCCCCCCCCTCCCTCCCCCTCTCTCTTTTCTCACCTTATTCTTGCAGGGATGTGCAGTCTCTCCTCAACAACCCATCAGAGCCGGTCCCCTCCCTGGTCTTCTCTCAAATACGACGGCTCAGCCTTTCGCCTTTGTGGCCTGCCCTCTCTTTTTTCACCTTATTCCTGCAGTGATGTGCAGTCTCTCCTCAACGACCCATCAGCAAGGGTTCCCTCCCTTGTGTACTCCAAAATACGCCAGCTCGACTTATCGCCTCTGTGGCCCGCGACATCTCCTCGCGACCCTGATATGCAGCAAGTGCCTGTTCTCACGCTGCAGCAGGCGCTACAGGTAGGGTATTTTTCCAACATTTGACTCAATTTCCCCTCCTCATGCCCTCGCTTTCCCCTTAATTTCCCACACCCTCCACCTCCTCACGCCTGCCCCTCCATTTTCCCTTCCTTTGTTCCACTTCCCCCCTCTCCTGTCATTTTCAAGATTCTTAAAACGCTTCTAGAAGCGTTCTTGTCCGTCCCTTCTTTCCTTGTCTCTCTTTTGCGCATGGGAAATGCCGGATGACGTGGCAGGCTCTCATTGGCCGAGTGAAGCACATCGCCGTGGACGTCAAGATTGCCACGTCAGCAATCGCCGAGAACAGGCACATGGCACAGCGGCTTGTGAACGTGGTATGTGAGTAGGTCACAATGCACTTGCCACCACAAAACCGTTTGCATCGAGACAGATCCCAAGCAATTTAGTGTTCTTGACATATGCAGCCCAATGTGAGCACACGCCTTCTCTTGTTCTGCTTCTTGTTGATTACCACCCATTTCCCCTCCATTTGTTTTGTTCTTTTGTTTTAACTAATTTCAGTTTGAAAGAGTTGGTGGGTGTTCTGAGTGCCTTGTGTGGTCCAAGGAGGATCAGTTCATTCGCCACTTGTCGCGCATCCAGCCGTCCATCAAGGTGAGCCAATCTGGGCCGTCAATGCATGTCTCATTTGCTGCTAGTGTTACATAAACTGCAGATACACCACGTCAATACTGTAACTAGCATTACGGTACTCTGCTTTTTGTGTGGGGAATGCAGTCCGTATAACTTTTGGTTCAACTCAAGATTCAGCTTGCACTGTGCTTCATATCCATGCACTTGCATATGCATGTGCCACTGCCACAGCATTTGTAGTTGCATGCACTTGCATGTATGTGGCACAGGCAGTCTGGTTACATAGTGTGGAGGATTTTCAAGACTGGAGAGGCCAATGGGTTGCCTTGGCAGGCATTCTGTGCAGTTACCATAGTATCTGCACTCCATGTCCATGCATGTGTTTCCTTGTGTGTGGCACAGGCAGACTGGGTACATAGTGTGGAGGATTTTCAAGACTAAAGTGGTCAACGGGTTGACCTGATGTCACCTTGTGCAGTTACCAGATTTGCAACCCATGTATATGTGTTGTCTTTGTGTGTGGCACAGGCAGACTGGGTACATAGTGTGGCGGAACTTCAAGACTGGAGTGGTGAATGGGTTGCTGCGTCGTGAGTCGTCACATGTGGTGGGACTGGCGGAGAGCCTTGCTACACCACAAACCGTCAACGATGCCCATAAGTAAGTTTGGTGGCTTCAAATGGGTGACTGCTGGTGACAAACCATCAGAGTCACAAAGTGACTTCCAGAATCTGTCTTTAGGTAGATGCGTCTTTCCTAAATCAACCATTGGTTTGTTCAATTTCTCATTTTTTTTCACTCTCATGCCCTGCACTACCTCCAGGGGAGGAAAGGAGGTGCATGTATGGACAGTGGATGACAGGGCAGGAATGAGGAGAGTTCTAGGGTTGCCTGTTGACGTCGTTGTTACCAACAACCCAGTGCTGCTTCGGAAGACAATGAGCCGACTCCAGAAGCAGTGTAAGCATGCTGGTCTGGGTTGATGATCAATCAATGGCAATGGCAGCAGCATATCCAGTCCAGTGAGCTGCTGATGCAGATTATAGTTACAGTAGGAATCTGTGTGAAATAAATTTAAAGGCATCTATCTAGGTTTGCTGATATGGGCTCAAGCCTTGTTATGGTCCAATGGAAGGTTCTAGATACAAATGCTGAACACAAACCAAAAGCCAAGAACATAAGCAACAGCTGCAGCATGTACTGCAGGTACCAACAGTTGAACCAAGGTTCGGAATAATAAATCTCCCAAACACAACTCAAGCTTATGTACATCAGTCTTGCACTGACGACACACCATCAATAGTACAACTCGCTTTCAAGAATCTTTCTTGCCCACTTATCCGGCTAAGCCAATGCCTGCTGAAGAGGTCTTAACTGAAAAAAGCAGGGTGTTTTAGTCGACTCTCGGGTCTTGAATTTAGTAGGAACCTTTGATGTATTCACTCAACCGCTTAACCTCCTCACGATGCTCCTCCACAACAGCGGCAACCACGTCACCAATGCTCAGCATTCCCTTCATCTTCTGACCCTCAACCACAGGAATGTGGCGAATTCTTTTGTCTGTACCACAGAAGTAGCAGAACACAAAACGTTCATGTGAGCCAACTGCTGCTTATTGAAGTTATTTTCTTGATGCTGGCGAGTTTATTATTGCACACGAAACATGGTTTACTGACCTGACATGATCTCCATAGCCTTGAGCAGCCTTGTCTCGGGTGTGAGAGTGATGAGCTTATTCTGCAATGTCGTGACAAAAACGGAAGGTTATGGTATGTGATGAGCTTATGATTCTTGCTACTTTCTCAGGTATTATACACTTTCTTTTCAAGCTTCTGTTCACATACCTCGTCAGTCATGATGTCGCCAACTTTTGTGGTCTTGGAGGACCGGCCCTGTACGATAATTTTTCTGAGGTAATCTGTAAAGTAAATCCAGGAAAATGAGTCCATGTCAGAACAATGAGCAACAAGTAGCCAAAGACAGGTGATGTAAACATGCCGCGCGTGCGCACCTCTTTCAGTAACAATTCCCGCGATCGTCCCGCTCGTGTCTGGCCTCATCACCAAAAGCGCACCGACGTTGTGGCTCGTCATCTGCAACCATACCCATAAAGCCATCGTTGAGTCAATAGCGTAGAGCAAGCGATTTCCACCGAAAACATGTCAGAATGGTAAAAAAACAACGAAGCTGGAAAAGCCTCACCGATTTCACTGCATCGAACACGGTATCGTCTGTTGTGCACCAAAGCCACGAGCCGTCATTGCCAGCTCCTCGAGCCCTCAGAAGGTCTGCGATTGTCGCTTGCTCGAAAGGCAGCTGCTCCTCCTCTGACGACTCCGCCGGTTTAGTGGTGTTTGTAAACGATCTGTAAGGAGCAGCTGATCGAACCCTCAGCGAAACTCCCGCTCGGCTGCCAAGAACACGGAGAAGTGAAGCCATTGTTCAAGGCTGCGTCGGGAGACGAGGAACTTGCGGAAATGGAATCTCCAATCTAATTCCAGCAGAACCAAGAAAGAAAAGCCTGAGAAGAAAAGACCACTTCACAGGCAGTGGTTTTTATTCGGGCCTTGCCTGCACGAGACCAAGGCTCAGGCGAGCTGGAATGCTTTGGAGCTGAATGTGAGTTTCAAGGGAACAGGGAAATTTGAAGCTCCGTGACGGTTGGCATGCACAAAGAGTTCCCAAGGCGAAGAGCAGCTTGTTGGGGGCCTGGTTCGGTACGTCGGGGAGGTTCGTCATAGCTTTGAGCTTTGACGAGTCTGATGCGAAGGTCTGAGGGGTGGTTCTTTTGCACGTGCCAGATTTTTGCCAAATCAGAGGCAGGTAATGCCAGGTCCGATAGTGAGTTGATCCGATGTGGATGAGGCCGATAAGTGGTTCTTTGAGTGTGCCACGCATGCTTGTGCCAGCTCAGACTCGGCAGCCCTATATTCGATACACAGCGACGCGTAAATACCATTTGAAAATCCTGGAGTACACTGGAGTAATATTGACGCTCGTATAGAGAAACAAATGTATCGTTGACATGTTCGTTACAGTCGTCTAGCGTGCCGTGAGGCCTCCACGTGGCTCGGCATGTCTGGCTTCGTTGTCAAATGGGTTGTGTCGGTTAATTTACGGTTAAGCTGGGTTGACTGCTGGTTCACGAATCTAGCACTTTTGTGACTGGCATGGCATTCCATCACCACCTCCTCCCTCACAGAAATGCATTTCAGTGAAATTCACAGCCACCCTTCGCATTTCCGTCCTGTCGTTCAATCACGATTCAGTAACTCCTGGTTGCTTGCATGATGGACTCCCTGCTCCATTGCGGTAATCAAGCCCTCCATCCCGCACCGCATCACGCTTTGCGAAGCCGCAATTCAAGACAAGCAGCATCACGAGCATCCGCCGGAAACGGCGTTTCCCGCCTCGCCAGTAGCTTCGGAACTTGCGCATTTGTCGGCAAGGTTCACGAGATTAGGCAAGTTACGAGGAGGTCAAACGCTCGGCTAGGTTTTGACACGTGTCGAGCTGCCTCCTCGGATGGCTCAGCTGCTTCAGCCGAAGACGAGTCACCACAGGCAAGGGATTCGTACGCATGACAAGCAGGAACGCATCAGTCTGCATGGTTATCAACAGCAGCAATGCCGTTTATCTATAAAAGTATACTGCCGGCAGTTACCGATGAAGCGCCGTTCGACCGTCTGAATGCTTTGCCTCGGTCTTGACGTGTACCCTTTCAGGTGCCTCGTCCATCGCGGCGAGTCTCCGTTCCCGATTCCGTTGATGAGAGCGTTCAGCAGGTGAGAAATCTTCTGTGTAATTCTTTCCTTGGATGGGGTGCAGTAGCTGTTGCTGAGAGGGTCAGCAGGTTCCTCAGATTCACTGCAAGTATCCTAGTCAGGTCGCAATGATATCTGTACCAACAGCTTTACCTGCTGCCAACGCAGTTGTGCTGTGCGTTAGCACCATTGAAATATGAATGGTGTAATTCACCTGCAACTTGCTTGTCTCTTCATTCTGGGCTTTCAGGCTCGAGCAGCAGTGAGGAGGGCGAGGGAAGCAGGCCATCAACGCTTGATGCTGGACCTGCTCTTGCCGCTCATTGGCCCTTCGCTCCTGGACGACTGGCCTGTGAGTCGCCTTCTGATTCCATTTTTTTCTTGAGAAGTTGAAGAGTTGTGCAGGTTTTTTTCCAACAAATCGAATAGCACCCTGCAGATGCTGACCCGCTCTTACCACTCATTAGCCCCTTCAAAACCTGAACCGTTGATTCCATGAGCCGCAAATATTTCATAGCCATGCGAATTTAACCTTCACGCTTCACTTCTCCGTTCTTGCTAAATTGCTTTCGTCTGTATGCCCCCTGATGTACTCACAGGGAGGCATTCAGCAGCAGCTGCAGGCGGCCATTCCTCTGGTGGAGTCGCTGCTGACAGGGCTGGTAGACGGTGGGGAGTTGTACACGAGGCGGGTGATAGACGAGGACGAAGCAGTGGTGGCGTGGGAGAGCAAAACGGTAGGTAATTCCTGGTTTCTCAGAACCAATATGTCCTTTGAGGCGCAGCAAAAGTCGACTGCTGGCAGGGCTGGTGGACGGTGGGGAGCTGTACACGAGGCGGGTGATAGATGAGGACGAAGCAGTGGTGGCGTGGGAAAGCAAATCGGTAGGTTTGTTCAGGTACCTCAGCCGCCTCAGAACGAGAAAGCTGTGTCCTCCTTGGTGTGGTGTGGTGTGATGTGGCGTTTGATGTGAAGTGCCTGAAAGCCAACCTTTTGTGTTGCTGCTGAATGCAGCCTCATAATGAAAAGGTAATTATACATGCTATCCCCTTCGCCTCATCAGCTGCTTTCAACTTCTCAGAAAAATTATTCTTTCATTCCTCCGCCCCCACCCCACCCTCCCCACCCTCTCCCTCTCCCCCCCACCCCCCCGCCCCCCTTCTCCTCCCCGTTTCCATTTCGTGGATCATTTGCATCCCTTCAACCCAACCATCAAACCCCAAGGTTGCACTCGTGCTCTTCCCCACAGCCGAGCGCCTGCCAGCTGTGATGGAGCTGGCCAATAGTGAGCCTGGACGCGCGCTGCTGCTCATGAATCCTCAGTGGCAGCCAGGCCAGGTGGGTTGGTCTGTCCCCTTTGTGCATGCATTCAAAGACTCATATCTCCTTGCGCCTCAATAATGAGCCTGGACGCACCGTGATGATGACGAATCCTCAGTGGCAGCCAGGCCAGGTGGGTTGGTCTGTCCCCTTTGTGCACGCATTTAAGACTCAGATCTCCTTATACGGCTCTAATAGCGAGCCTGGACGCACGCTGCTGCTCATGAATCCTCAGTGGCAGCCAGGCCAGGTGGGTTGGTCTGTCCCCTTTGTGCGTGCATTCAACGTGCACGTGTGCGAAGACACCAATTTTTATTATCTCACTGCAAGTTCAATAAATTCCGTGAAGTTGCGCAAGGTTGTGCCCAAGCTTGTGTATGAGAATGAACTGTAGACTTGACCATTGGGCTCCTTCTTTGTTGAGTTTTCCCTTCATGAATTTGCAAATCCATGTATGCAGGTGGTATCAGATTTTGGTTTTGGAAGCAAGCGTAAACAGGCAGAAGAGTTTCTAGGCACCTTCCTTACTGCCTACAGTCTGAAACGCAACCGCATTCGCTCGTATGATGTCACAATTGTCAAGTGCTTTCCAGGCGATTGGCAGGTAAACAGCACCATCAATCTCGTATGGCTGGATTTTTCTGTCTTTCTTTCGTTTGTCCCTTTTTCAGGCACAACCTCTCCGCGTGTTCTGACATATCATCTTGCACTCTTTGGCCACCAGGTTTACATGTCTGATGACAGTGGCAGTGGTTCTGATAGCTCTTTCCCGACATATGAGATGATTGGGGCAGTGGAGAATCCACCAAGTTATCGTGACCTTGAAGCGATGGTGCAAAAGAAGAGCAGCCTAGGGAGCGACTCAGGTGGATGGTTTGGGCGCATTGCCAAGGAGATAGAGTTTTTGAAGCGTTCCAAGTGATCGTCCAGAACTCTCTAACTATTTAACACTTGTAGTGTAACTATCCTAATGTAGTCAACAATGCCATCAGGTGCAGTTGCTGTATTGCAACTGAGGTCTCTGCGCGTAAGGACGTGGTGCAGAACGACTTGGCACGCCCCGATGCACCGCGGTGCGCCGGGTTTCGAAGCTTCCGTGCACACGGGAACCCGGTGCATTGCCTCGTCCCGGGGCGTGCTGGGACGAGGCGATGCATCTACGCGTGCCAGCACGCCCCGGGCCGTGCTGTGGGGCGCCCCAGCATGCTCGAAAGGCTTACGAACAGTCGAAATTTCGGTTACTAGCTCGATTGTCGTGCGAGGTTCTCGATGAGATCGTTTGATGATTGCGACGACTTTTTGGGGAGGGATCAATTGCGAGATCTGTTTGACGAAAACTGCGTTCGGCGGCCGCATCAGAGCCTGATGCGCCCTAGGCTCGGCAAATTGACAAATTGAAAAATTGAGGCTCGGTAATGTCCAAATTGAAATTGGAAAATGGAGGTTCGGAAAATGGACACGCAGGTTCGGGAAATCGGAAATTGGGGATGTCGAATTTCGGGCATGTCAAATTTCGACCCCAAAATTCCGACGAATTCCAGGGTGTTGAGCTTTCATCGAAGTGGGGAAGAACGCACCTGGCGCCTTCCCCACATGCATGATGCGCTGTTCAATTGCCCCAATTCGAGCTGATGCGCGCATCATGCGTGTTTAGGGCGTTGCATCATGCGCGCATCAAGGATGCGTCAGATTGCTAGTACGCTGTATTTCCTGGAAAGCGGCGACATGCAAATTTGTGGTTGCCAAAAAGACCGTTCTGCAGGCATTCGGGCTTGGTCTGCCTCGGCAGCCAAGCGCTTATCACGAACCTTGATAGCCTTTCGGCTGGTTATCACGGAAGGCTCCTGGAACATCGAAAAAAATGTGCAATGTACATTGGTGCGGGCTAATGCGGCCGCCGAACGCAGCCTTTGGCGGAACTACACCATGTTAACATTTTCGACCGAAATTTGCATCTGATACTTCCGCTTTCGCTTATTGCTGGTCGAAGGTTCGATCTCAGCTCTTGGAAGGATAATCGAAACTGAGACGCGTTCCACGGGGCGAGCTGGGGCGCCCCGGCACCCCCGGGGACGCCTCGATGCACCGGGTCTGGACCCGTTCCGCACCACGTCCTAAGCGTGCAAGCTAACGTGGCTAACGGCCGAAGTGACGTGTGCCAGAGTGCTGCCAAAAGCTTGGGGTACACTCGACATAGTTGTCCTCGATGTGGCATTGAAGGAACTAAGGCGCAGTTACAGTACTGCTTCACGATTTGACATGGTGTCGATACCATACACGGAATACAGTTTATGAACAGAAATACGATCTCTCGGCAACCAGATTCAGCAGAACTTGCAGAGCAAGGCTTGTCTTCGCGAGCGACCGAAACCCACCTCCGCTCCGCTGTGTCCGCCTGTCAGTGTCACTTGCAGGACTGCCAGTGTCACTGCGCCGCAGGGCAGGACAGAACCTTTCGGCGCGGCCCCGCATTCACAAGCGGTTCCGCGTGTCCTAGCCATGAGCGCAGATACCCCACCACCCCGCCCCACACCCAGTTTCCATCCTAGCGCGGTGTACCCCAAGACCCAGCCCGTACGGTTCCTGGAATCCGCGGAACAGAAACTCCGCCATACGCGCGGCATTCCCCATGCCCTTCCTGTCCCTTTTGTCCACGATCTGCCTCTGCTGCTCCGTTCCTCTCCCCTCCCATCCCATAAATCAATTTCTCCTCCTCTCCCTCCTCTCCCTCCGCCCACCTCCCTCCTCTCCCTCCTCCCCCTCCCCTCCCTCCTCTCTGTCCTCTCGCTCCTCCACACTTCCTCATCATCTCCCTCCCTTTCCACCCGTCCTCGCCACTCCACTCCAACCAACAAACCTCGAATCCTCCGCTGCTGCATCACTTGCCTTCATCCTTCCGCCATCGACCCTGTATGGTCTTGCAATGCAGATGCAGTATGCAGAAGCTCTGTATTGATTAGGTATTGATTAGTAGGTACTGCTTTTGATTCTGGTGATAGCGTTTTACTGTCCGATGGCTTTACCTGCTTATAGAATAAGCGTGTTACCTTCTTTTGGTTGTTTTTAGCTGGTTTTGCTTAGTGTTGCCATGCATCACGGCTACACTGATTGACGTAGTTTCGACCGGACCGTTCCTAATTAGCCCTTCTTCCACTCGGGTTATCCTATTTTGCTTTCGTGTTCAACGTTAACTTAGCGTCCGGCGCTCCGTTAGAAGAAGTTTGACCATTTGGTTATAGCTCCGTCTTCGTTAGTTTCTGACGGTTTCAGTCATGTCGACGTCAACCGCGTCGCGCGTGTTCTCGGCGGACGACGACGACGCGAGGTCGAATTCGTCCGGCGAAATGGACGGATCGCTGAGCGACGACGAGGTGACGCAGCAGCGCCTGCACAGTCGCCCGCAACTCGCGACGACGGCGGAGGACCTTACCGCGAACCTTCCCGACGACTGCCTCGTGCACGTGTTCCGGAAGCTCGGAACGTCAGACCTTGCCAGATGCTCCCTCGTGTGCAGGCGTTGGTTCATGTGAGTTATTCTTTTTTTTTTTAGACGGCTCTTGCCAGATGCTCCCTGGTGTGCAGGCGTTGGGTCATGTGAGTAAGTCAGGTCCTTCTCCCCGCTATTGTCACAATTGCCTCGTTGACATGTTCTGAAAGCTCGGAACGTCGGATCTTGCCGGATTCTCCCTGGTGTGCAGGTGCTGGGTCATGTGAGTAAATTTAACCCTTCTTGCCCGTTATTGTCGCTCTTTCTTCGTTCACGTGTTCACTTAAGAAAATCATGCTTTTCGGCACCATAGCGTCTGTTACAAGGTTGGAGATGCTAAAAAGCATCACAGGCTCTTCGCATTATGGCGCTTGCTAAGGACTTGGTTTTCGTGTGCGTCCCTCTCGCGTTGCTGTTCCGCGTGCATTGGCGGTTTTGTGATGCCTTCAAATACGCACGCGAACCATGTGCGAGTCAATCGTTTACTCGTGTCAAGTACTCTCTCGTTTAACCTTCAATTTAGAAGCTTAAGCGGCACACCCTGAGGTTAATATTGTCTGAACCTTCTCTTCCGTATTCACGGCGTACGTTATAATATAGTTTAGCTCTTCTGATGCCGAATCTAGCGGGACTCTATGCCGTGTACGTTAAGAATGTTCAGAACGATGAAGTTCTCTCCACCTGCCCTTCCTTTCCTTCCCGCTCTTTCCGTCCGTTTCTTTCACAAGCTGCTAAAGCGTCCAACCTCCCGGGTTTGCCCCCTCGTCTCGCGTTCCATACGTGTCCTTGTAGGCAGACCGCTGATACGCGACCTAGCATGTCGCTGCGAGCAACGCTGATGCTCAAATGCTCCTGCCCCTCCTCTTCCCTCACTCCTTGCTTTTTCAATCCTCAGGTTAGACGCGGAAACGCGGCCAAGCATGTTGCTGCGAGCAACGCTGGAAGCCGCGCCCGACCCGGCGAGCCTGTCCACGCGGTTCACGGGCGTGCAGAAGCTGGTCAAACGCTCAGATGTTCCTGCCCTCCCTCTTTCCACGTTCCTTGCTTTTCAATCTTCAGGTTGGACGCGGAAACGCGGCCGAGCATGTCCCTGTGCGCGACGCTGGAAGCCGCGCCGGACCTAGCGAGTCTGTTCACGCGGTTCACAGGCGTGCCGAAGCTGGCACTAAAATGCTGCTCCCCTCCTCTCCCCTCATCCCTTGCTCCTCTAACGCCGTTCCCATTCACAGGTTAGATGCGGAAACACGGCCAAGCATGTCGCTGCGTGCGACACTAGACGCCGCGCCCGACCTGGCGAGTCTGTTCACGCGGTTCGCGGGCGTGCAGAAGCTCGTGCTGAAATGCTCAAATGCTCCTGCCCTCCCTCTTCTGCTATTCCGCACGTTCTCCTCTACAGGTTAGACGCGGAGACCAGGCCAAGCATGTCGCTGCGAGCCACACTAGACGCCGCTCCCGACCTAACGAGCCTGTTCACGCGGTTCACGGGCGTGCAGAAGCTGGTGCTGAAATGCGAGCGCAATGTTCTGAGTATCGATGATGCGTCGCTGGACACGATTGCCAGGCAGTGCGTTTACCTGAGGAAACTCAAACTGAAGAACTGTCGACAGGTGAGGGTCGTGGGGAGAGATTGTGGGAGGGAGCGTGTTAGCATGTGGGTGGAAGGGGAGGGAGGGAGGTTGGAAGCTGGTGCTGAAATGCGAGGAAACTCAAGCTGAAGAACTTCCAACAGGTGTGTGCTTTGAAAGAGAACGTATGGGGACACAATGGAAACGGCGGTGGGGAGAGAGCGGGGGCATGTGGGATGGGGAGGGGGCAGAAGCTGGTGCTGAAATGCGAGCGCAACGTGTTGAGCATAGACGACGCGCCGTTGGATACCATCGCCCGGCAGTGCGTTTACTTGAGAAAGCTGAAGCTGAACACCTTCAGATTACGGGCGATGGCATGGATAGCTTCGCCCGGGCCTGTCGAGAGCTTCAAGGCTCGAAAGCGAATCTCTGCCATCCATTGCGTCCCTAAACCACTCTGAACCACTCCCAACTCCTGTCAACACCTTCAGATCACGGACGATGGCATGGAGAGGTTCGCCCGAGCCTGTCCGGAGCTTCGGAAGTTCTCGTGTGGGAGCTGTGGGTTCGGGCTAAGGGGATTAAACGCGTTGCTCAACGGATGCATCCACCTTGAGGACTTAACCGTGAAGAGAAGGTACGAATTCAGCATCTCGTGTGAAAGCTGTGGGGGTTCGGGCTGAGGGGGTTCAATGCCCTGCTCAACGGCTGCATCCACCTTGAGGACTTAACCGTGAAGCGAAGGTAGGAACGTAGCGTCTCGTCTGGGAGGAAAACTCAAGACACTCAATACTTCCATTGCTTAAAGAAGACTGTGTTACGCCCATTTTTGCATGTGCCTGACTCGCTCTCCCACCAAGCGCACCTATCTCTGAAGTGCCTCTGCTTGTATACATTCTCCCTCGTTTATTGCATGTTGCTAAATAACAACTCTTTCCCGTATTTCCCCTTCTTCCCCTCTCTCATCCCTCTTCCCGTTTCCCCCTTCTCCCCTGTTATGTTATGTCCTCCTGTCCCCCCTTCCCAACTCTCCCCCTCCCAGCCTCCACCCCTCATTGCCTAAAGACCGTGTCACTCAGATCCCACACGTGTCGGACTCGCTCTCCCCTCCGGCCAACCTCTCTCTGAAGCGCCTCTGTCTGAAGGACCAGAGGCAATCACACATCTGGGTGCCGCTGCTGCAGGTAAGCATGTTCCCCTGCACGCCCCTCCCTCTGCCCGCCCTTCCCCTGCCCGCCCCTCCCGTGCCCTCCTTTTCCCTCCCCTTCGTTCCACTCACCGCCCTTCCTCTCCTCGCTCTCCCCTCCGGCCAACCTCTCTCTGAAGCGCCTCTGTCTGAAGGACCAGCGCCAGTCGCACATCTGGGTGCCGCTGCTTCAGGTGAGCGTGTCTCCTTTGAGCGAAAGGCAGTCACACATTTGAGTGCTGCTGCTGCTGCCGCCACCGCCACCGCCGCCGCCGCCGCTGCTGCAGCAGCTGCTGCTGGCCACGTCGAGGCTAGACACATAGGGCACTGGGATCAACTGCTGTGCTGCTGAGTAGCTCATTTCTCTCACCCCCTTTCCTTCCTCTCTCCCATTACTCTGCTGCTGCAGGCCACGTCGAGGCTAGAAACCCTAATTTTGGCACGAAACGCGGGCCACTGGGACCAGGTGTTGGGGAGCTCCTTGGGGGAAAAACTCACTCCGGAGCTGTCGCAGGTGAGTCTCAGTTGTGAGTCTCAGGTGTATCTTCAGGTGAATCAGGTTATATCAGGTGTTTAAGGGGCAGTGAAGCCAGGTGCTCGGGAGCTTCTTAGGGGATTAGCTAACCTTAAAGCACTCCTTAAAGCTGTATCAGGAGTTGTACGCACGCCTGACTGCACCGATGCAGGCATGGCGGCTGTAGCAGCCGGCTGTAGCAACTCTCACCGTTGCCTGCCTGTCCCCTTCCCTGCCCCCTCCCCCACAGATATACGTGGAGAGGGTGCAGATAACGGACAAGGGGCTGCAGTGCATCGGCAAGTGCCCCAAGCTAGAAGCGTGGCGGCTGTACCAACTCTCCTCCTTAACCTGCCAATTTTTCGCATCCCCCCCCGTTTACACAGATATACATGGAGAGGGTGCAGATAACGGACAAGGGGCTGCAGTGCATCGGGAAATGCCCCAAGCTAGAGGCGCTGGTGGTGGTGCGCACACCGGAGTGCACTGATGCCGGCATGGCAGCTGTAGCAACTCTCACCGTTGCCTGCCTGTCCCCTTCCCTGCTCCCCCCACAGATATACGTGGAGAGGGTGCAGATAACAGATAAAGGATTGCAGTGCATCGGGAAGTGCCCCAAGTTGGAGGCGCTGGTGGTGGTGCGCACACCAGAGTGCACCGATGCAGGCATGGCAGCTGTAGCAGCCGGCTGTAGCAACTCTCACCCCTGGTCCACCTGTCCCATCCCCCTCTCTCTCAGATATACGTGGAGAGGGTGCAGATAACAGATAAAGGATTGCAGTGCATCGGGAAGTGCCCTAAATTAGAGGCGCTGGTGGTGGTGCGCACACCGGAGTGCACCGATGCAGGCATGGCGGCTGTAGCAGCCGGCTGTAGCGGGCTGAAGAGGCTGCACGTGGAGGGGTGGGCGCCAGGGCACCTGGGAGACCCGGGGCTGTCAGCAATCGCCAGGCACTGCCGGCAGCTGCAGGTGGGTTATAGTTACTAGGTGTGGCGGCTGTAGCAACCGGCTATCGCAAGAATCTGTAGCAACTGTGGAGGTGCGAGCTAGAGGGGCTGAAGAGGCTGCATGTGGAGGGGTGAGCGCCGGGGCATCTGGGAGACCTGGGTTTATCAGCAATCGCCAGGTACTGCCGGCAGCTGCAGGTGGGTGGGTCAGTGTGTCTCACATTTCTCTCCTCTCTCCCCCCCAACCCTCGCCTACTCCTGCTCCAACCTCCTTTGGTTGTTGCAAGGCCAAAGCCAGTCACAAGTCCGCTGATCCAGGGTCCTCCTACCGTCTGGCTCTTCACCCCTCCCTTATCTGCAGGAGCTGCTGCTGGTATCGCATGCATGCACCGTCTCCTCACTCCAACTCCTCGCCTCCAACTGCCCTTCCTTGGAGCGCCTCACGCTCTGCTCAGGCCACAACATGGGCGACCCTGAGCTCGCCACGCTCGCCTACTCCTGCTCCAACCTGCGCCGCCTCTGCGTGAAAGCCTGTAACAAGGTTACCGACCTGGGCATTTACGCGCTCGCGAACGGGTGTCCCAGCCTGCAGAGGCTGAAGGTGAGGCGGTGCCCGGCTGTTTCGGCGCACTCGCTGAGCGTGCTGCAGGAGCAGAGGCCGACTTTGGTGATCACGCAGGAGAGGAGTCGGGGTGGGGTTGGGAGAGGCGGGGAGAGAGGGGAAGGGAGGGAGGGCGGTGGGGGAAGGAGGGAGGGTGGAGGACGGGGAGAGGGAGGGGTTGTGGGGGTTGGTGGTGGTGCTGGTGCTGGTGGTGATGGTGATGGTGTGGATGGGGGCGGTGTGGGTGGTGGTGGGGGTGGTTTGGGTGGGTTGCTGGGTGACGGGTTCCAGCTTCGGAATCTTGGAGAGAGAATAGGTCTGTTGGGGATGGGTGGAGGAGGATGGGGGGGAGCCGGAGCAGCTGGAGCAGGAGGAGCGGGAGGAGGGGAAGGAAGGGGGTTAGATCACCATCAGCATCAGCAGCATCTGCAGCACCAGCATGATCATCACCATAACGAGCATCACCGCCATCATCAGACCCAGAACCGTGTGCAAGGGAGAGGGGTGGGAGGAGGATCAGGTGGGAACGCTGCTGCTGCTGCCCTTGGTGCCCCTGGGAATGTGGAGGGTGGTGGTGGTGGTGATGATGGTGGTGATGGTGATGGTAGTGCTGGTGTGAGGAATGTTTCTCCCTTACGAGCTGGTTTGCTTAGACTGGCGTCAGCAGGAGACGCCAGACGTGGTGGTGGTACTGCTGCTGGTGCTGGTGCTGGTGCTGGTGCTGCCGCTGGTGATGCTGATGCATGTTTAGCGGCAGCTGTGGCAGCAGGAAGAGGTGGAGCAGGAGCAGGAGCAGGGCCGAGAGGGGCGCAGAGATTCGCCTCATTCGTTACAGGCACGCTGAGAAGGTTCTTGGGGCAACCCTCCCCTTCCTCACCTCGTGGAGGTTCGGGAATGGAAGGAGGTTCGAGTATGGGAGCTGCAGGTTTGGGAACGGCTGTCAGTACGGGTATGGAGGGCTCGAATCTGGCTGAGCTGGCAGGTTTGGGAAGTCCAGGTGCTGTGGGTAACAACCGAAATAACCCCTACAATATCGGGTCAAGCAGGACACACGACAGCAGCACCGGCAGCACCAGTGCTGCTGTTGCTAGTAGCGCCAGTGCTCGCACTGCTGCTGGTGCAGCTGCCGCTGCTGCTGTTGCGGGTGGTGGTGGGGGATTCACCAGAGGTGGTGGTGGGGGTGGGAGCAGCAGCATTGCTGGCTCAAGCAGGTCCGGCAATGGTTGGACGTACGTCACTCCCTCAGGTAGCGTTTCAGCTGCTGCTGCTAGTTCCAGTGCTGCTGCTGCTGCTGGTGCTGGTGCTGCACGTACTCACCGTACCAGCAGCAGCAGCAGCAGGTCCCCTTTGCGATCCCCCATGGGGTCTCCTATGCGATCACCCTTGAGAGGCTCATCTTCCACTGCCGGAGCTGATCTTGCCGGACCAAGCACCACCACCAGCGCCATTACCAGCAGCAACAGCACCACCAATCACAGGTCCCCTTTGAGGTCGCCCATGGGGTCGTTTTTGAGAAGCAGCGCTTCTGTGGGGGCTGATGGAGCAGGGGGGAGTGGTGGGGATGCAGGGAGGGCTTCAGGGGTGAGGAGAGGTTATTCAGCCCGGCCACTCACGCCCCCCCTGCACCTCCCGCTGCGGTCGTCTCTCTCGCCTGTGCCCGCTCGCCCTGCTGAGGCTCCTCCCCGGCTCACTGGCAGCGCTAGCAGCAGTAGTAGCGGTAAGGGTGGCAGCAGCGGCGGTGGGGGGGAAACGGGGGGTGTGGGAAGGGAAGGAGCTATTGGAGTAGGTTGTGCAGCAGGTTTGGCTGCAGGGTCAGGCACAGAGCAGGAAACAGGAGGTGAGAGAAGGTCAGAGGGCACGGTGGGAGCAGAGGGGTTGAGGGAAACAGATGCTGGTGGAGCGGCTGAAGAATTATTAGAAGCAGCAGGGGTGGTTGGGCAAGGGGTGGGGCTTGGGATTAGGGAAAGAGAGGGTGCTACCGTTGCTGCTGGTGATGGTGGTGGTGGTGGTGAGAGGGGGGGAGTGGGTAACCGGGAGCATGGTGGGGGTGAGTCGGAAGAGCAGGTGCGGGAATTGGGGGAGGGGATGAATGGGATTGGAGGATAGATGCAGAGATAATGATGGAGCAAGAGGAAGTGGGTGTAGCAAGCTCTTATGGAGGAAAAACGAATGCTAGAGTGCGATACGGAACACTCGGATGCGCAAGGGTTGAACGGGGTAAAACAGGGTGGAATATGGTATGGTTGGATAAGATTAGTTAGGGTGGGGGGAAAAGCCTGCACACTGTCCGTGCCTTAGGCACGGGCAAATTGCTATATATTTGAGAAGTGAGGTTCAAAATTGGTAGGTGTATTGCCAGCTCCTGCTTTATTCCGTGCAGAGTCTTGCCCTTACAATGTAGTTATGTTATTATGCTAGTATATTTGGCACTATGTATTGCCGGATATAACATGATCCGTAATTTAACTATGTGGTTGATAGAAAGTGTAGGTTTAGCTCGAGGTGATTCGTGTAGTATTTTTCCTGGCGAATACATGAATGAATGCACGCCATCCAAACCTGCACCTCCATATTGTCTCGCGCCTTGATACTACCCAAAGCCTTACAAATTAGCTCTTTCTTTTGCCTCCTAAGTGAGGCTTAGACCACCACCTCATTACCTCCTCAGGTTGCGGTGGTTTCTGCAACGCGCCGCGGCCCTCGCCGCTCGCCAAAAGCTAATTCGTCTCGTGTCCGTTTGAAGAGCCTCGAAATCCCGCTCTGATCTTACCTCCACTGAGAGAATGCCGACCGTTAGCGTGGGTCGCGATCGGCTCTTCGCCGCGCTCGGCAAAACCTACAGTGAGTCGTCAAACTGCCAATGTGAGGGGAATATCCGTTTACGGCGGCCTAGTAGTTATAAACTAGTGTGGATCACGTAGTTTCGTGTGAGTCAGGCGTCGTTACACGGTCTCCGTCTCTTTTGTTTCAAGCTTGATATAGTGTGCTTCAGCGGGAAAGTATCCCGTGTTTAGAAAGTCGTAGCCCTTCGCGAGTCATGGTTCGGAATCGTGTCAAATTAGCGAAAAACCCTACATCGGGAATACGGATACCTCCCCGTCCAGGATTTTCGTTTCAGCAGCATCATTTTCCCTCCTCCGTTAAGTTTCTGCACGATGAAGTTTGCTGCTCTGAGCCATCTCACGGTGAAAGCTCATAGAAGAGGGAAGCTTCGTGATAAACGAGGGAAACTACACACTAGCTCCATAACTTCATCGTACAGAGATCTCGTTTGCTGAATTCTGTCTAGCAGATAGATTTCGTTTGCTGGCTTTGATACCGTGCTAGTGTTTTCTAGTGCGTCATTGTCTCTGATTCTGTCAGGTGGTTGCTGATTCTGTCAGGTGGTTGCTGATTCTGTCAGGTGGTTGCTGATTCTGTCAGGTGGTTGCTGATTCTGTCAGATGGTTACTGGAGTCAGTCGGTAATCAGGAGGTTACTGATTCCATCTGACATTCCCCCATCTCCGCTCTTCGTGACATTCCTTTTCTTCCTCACATTGCCTGATCTCTCCTCTCCGTTACATCTATGCGCCTATTCGTACGATCTTTCAGCGGAGGAGGAATTTGATGAGCTCTGTTTCGAATTCGGCATTGAGCTTGATGACGTGGTGAGTGTGATGTGACTGTAGAGAGAGTTGGGATTATCCGCAAGGAGAAGCGTTTAACGGATGAGGGTTCATTGGAGGATGAGGAGGTGATTTACAAGATCGAAGTGCCTGCCAACCGCTACGACCTGCTGTGCCTGGGGATTGCCGTGCCTTTCTTCTTACCTTTACACCTTCCCTTTCCCTCCTCCAGACCACGGAAAAGGCCATTATTCGCAAGGAGAAGCACCTGACGGATGAGGGTCCATCTGAAGATGAGGAGGTGATCTACAAGATCGAGGTGCCTGCCAACCGCTGCTTCCCTCTCAACCTGCTCCCCTCTGGCATCCCACCTGCAGACCACAGAGAAGGCAATAATCCGCAAGGAGAAGCACCTGACAGACGAGGGACCCTCGGAGGACGAGGAGGTGATCTACAAGATCGAGGTGCCTGCCAACCGCTACGACCTGCTGTGCCTGGAGGGGCTGGCTCGCTCGCTGCGCATCTTCCTTGGCTTGGAGGCAGTGCCCCAGTTCAAGCTCGCTCCTGCTGCCAGCCCCATCCGCATGACGGTCAAGCCTGAGGTGAGTTAGCTAGAGTAGACCACTGCAGAGCCCTTTCTCAGCCAGCGTCGATACAAGCTGCTCTGCCTGGAGGGGCTGGCCCGCTCGCTGCGCATCTTCCTTGGCTTGGAGCCAGTGCCCCAGTTCAAGCTCGCTCCTGCTGCCAGCCCCATCCGCATGACCGTCAAGCCCGAGGTGAGTTGGCTGGAAGCTTGCGTGCATGCGCCTGGAGCACACCACTCTCAAACTCGCCCGCTCGCTGCGCATCTTCCTTGGATTGGAGCCTGTGCCCCAGTTCAAGCTCGCTCCTGCTGCCAGCCCCATCCGCATGACCGTCAAGCCTGAGGTGAGTTAGCTAGAGTAGACCACTGCAGAGCCCTTTCTCATGCTTGCTGCCTCCAATCTCTCTCGTCTCCTCTTCCCCCTGCGCCCTTCCCACCCTGCTCCCTTGCCCACCCTGTGAGCCCACCCAGACGGCCCTGATCCGTCCGTTCGTGGTAGGAGCAGTGCTGAGAATCATCACGTGCGATCAGCACCGCTACAACAGCTTCATGCTTGCTTGCTTGCTGGCGCTTTCTCTCCCATCTCCCGTTCCCCTTGCGCCCTGCCTTCCTCGTGATGCAACTAACACACACAGACGGCCCTGATCCGTCCCTTTCGTGGTGGGAGCAGTGCTGCGCAACATCATATGCAACCAGCACCGCCACAACAGCTCTTTCATTCTCCCATCTCTCTCGCGTTCACACACCTTGCCCCTGCTCTGCTCCTTCACGCAATACCCTGCAGACGGCCCTGATTCGTCCCTTCGTGGTGGGAGCAGTGCTGCGCAACATCACGTTCGACCAGCACCGCTACAACAGCTTCATCGACCTGCAGGACAGGCTGCACCAGAACCTGTGCCGGTGAGATTCGTTCCTCTGCTCGTAACATCCCTCTGCCGGTTACACTTGTCTGCGTGCGAGTAATGTTACTCCTGAGTCTCACCAGCACCGTTACAACAGCTTCATCGACCTGCCTGCAGGACAGGCTGCACCAGAACCTGTGCCGGTGAGATGCCCTGCTGCTATGCTTTCCTCCCCCATCCCCCACGCACCCCACCATACCCACCCCATGCCCAACCCTTATCAACTCCATGCCTTTACCCATCCGATTCAACCAACCCACCAACCCACTCCATCCCTCCACCCCTCATCCTCGTCCCCCCGTCCTCGTCCCCCCCTCTGCCCTCCTTGCAACAGTCGCCGCACGCTTGTGGCAATTGGCACACACGACCTAGACACGCTCACACCACCCTTCACTTATGAGGTGGGTGGGTTAGGGCAGGTGTGGTTCAAGGCAGGCAGGCTTGGTGTGGGTTAGGGCAGATATGGGTTAAGGCAGGCAGGTCTGGTTTGGGTTAGGGCAGGCAGGTATGGCCTAGAGTCGCCGCACACTCGTGGCAATTGACACACACGACCTAGACACGCTCACACCACCCTTCACTTATGAGGTGGGTGCGTAAGAGCAGATATGGGTTAGGAGTGGCAGGTGTGGGTTAGAGTTTAAACACACTTGTGGTGTCATAATAGGCACACTGTGCTCATCACTTAGCCTCCCACTCGGTCTTGTTCTCCCCGCTTTCTTACAACCCACCAAGTCACCCCCCTCTCCTCTCCACGGCCCCTCCCTCACTCCCGCCCCTCTCCCCCGCCCGATCTTCTCCCCAATCACCGCATCGCACTCCTTTCTCGTTGGTTCGCCACCTTTTTCCTAGTGTCACCACCTTTTTTTCGTGTTTTTTTCATTCTTGTTAGTTTCTTCATCGTGTCACCGCCTTTCGTCCTTGTTTCTTCCCTGCCTCCCGTCCCATCCCACTGCAGGCCCTACCTCCCACGGAGATCAAGTTTGTGCCGCTCAAGCAGGTGCCAACCTTCAAACCCTCCCGCACCCTTCTCCACCCCTTCCACCACCCACCCCACCGCTCTAGCTTCTGTTCCATACGTGACTAGTCAGTGACACTATACGACCAGCCTGGCACCACCCTTCCACCTGGATTGGCCGAATTAGAGACTGGCTCTAATCATGACTTCCTTTTTATGCTCGCTGCTGTGTTTCGTTTGCCATCTTCTGGCTGGGCTTCCTTTGCCTTTGTTTGATTGCTTGCTTGTTTGTTTGTTTACTTTTCTCTTTTACCTATTTTTGTACTCAATTTCCTTGTCCACTCCCTTGTCCCTCTGACATCAGACCAAGGAGTTCAACGCTGCTGAGCTCATGGAGTTCTACAAGGTAACGTTATGCATAGCAAAATGCACAGTACACTACCATACACGTTATAAGCCCAGCCAGGACAACCCCTTCCCCTTTTTACATCGCATGCTCGTCACTGCAATCCAACAGCACGCTAGAGATGTTCCTCCCGCATCATGGCACCGTGCTGCCTCCCTCCCATCCTTCAACAATTCATATCCTACTGACAAAAAGCTAAAGAAGCTCCTGTACATCATGCCATGCCCCCTCTGTGCCCCCCCCCTTCTCCCATTTCGCAACCACCCTGTGTTCCCCCCTTCATATCCCCGTTATTGTCAGTCTGACAACAAGCTAAAGAAGTTCCTCCACATCATCAGCGACTCGCCTGTCTTCCCGGTCATTTACGATGCCAACAGGTGAGTGTGTATCCTTATAGCGAGGATGACCTGTCTTCCAAGTCATTTACGATACCAACAGGTGAGTTTGTATCCTTATCACGAGGATGACCTGACTTCCCGGTCATCTACAACGCCAACAGGTGTGAGGTGTAGTCTTATAGAGAGGATGGCTTGCATTATCGTATGTTAATTCTCATGCTATGTGCGACGTGCTCTCTTCTTCCCGCCCATTCCCTCTGCCCCTCTCCCACAGGACCGTCCTGTCTCTCCCTCCGGTGATCAACGGCTCACATTCAGCCATCAACCTGACCATGCACAACGTGTTCATTGAATGCACCGCCACTCCTTCCCGCTTCCCTTCCCTTCCCGCTTCCCTTCCCTTCCCGCTTCCCTTCCCTTCCCGCTTCCCTTCCCTTCCCTTCCCCTCCCTTCCCTTCCCTTCCCTTCCCTTCCCTTCCCTTCCTCTCTAATTCTCCCAACAGAACCGTGCTGTCGCTCCCTCCAGTGATCAACGGCTCACATTCAGCCATCAAGCTGACCACACGCAACGTGTTCATTGAATGCACGGCCACTGACCTCACCAAGGCCAAGATCGTTCTCAACACCGTGGTTACCATGTTCTCAGAGTTCTGCGACAACAAGTGAGTGCGAAGCTCTAGTGAAAGCTCTATTGTAATGTGCAACTGGAAGGGCCACTGACCTCACCAAGGCCAACATCGTGCTCAAAACCGTCATCACCATGTTCTCCGAGTTCTGCGACAACAAGTGAGTGGAGCAGCTGATACGGCTCTAGCAGCAGCTGTATCGTATTGTACTGTGCGTTTGAAGGGCCACTGACTGCCTTCACCTCACCAAGGCCAAGATCGTGCTCAACACCGTCGTCACCATGTTCTCTGAATTCTGTGACACCAGCGAGTGGAGTAGTAGGGGAGGGCCTCAAATCTCTGCATTAGAAAGGGCACTGACTGACCTCACCAAGGCCAAGATTGTTCTCACCACCGTGGGTACCATGTTCTCCGAGTTCTGCGATAACAAGTGAGTGTGACGCCGGTGCCTTGTAGATGCTGTAGTGAAAGCTGTAGGGTACTGTGCTTGAGAACGGCCGCTGACCTCACCAAGGCCAAGATCGTTCTCAACACTGTGGTCACCATGTTCTCTGAATTCTGTGATAACAAGTGAGTGTGGAGTTTCTATGATGTGCGGATAGAAAGGCCACTGACTGACCTCACCTCACCAAGGCCAAGATCGTGCTCAACACTCTGGTTACCAGGTTCTCAGAGTTCTGCAACAACAGGTGAGTGTGTGGGCTGTGGATGCTGTAGGGAAATCTGCAGAGGAAGAAAGTTGTAGAGTACTTATCCGTGGAGGTGGCATTTGTGGAGGGGTGTATTTGAAGAATCTCTTACTAATGCTTCCGCACACACACCTGCAATTCACTGCAGCTTTCCGTTGTAGGTTCGAGGTGTAGCCGGTGGAGGTGGTATCTGTGGAGGGGCGAATTTAAGAAGCCTCTGTGTTTTACTCCTTCCACCCCCATTTCACTGTGACTTTTTTTCAGGTTCGAGGTGGAGCCGGTGGAGGTGGTATCTGCGGAGGGCCAGGTGGCAGTGTACCCACAGATGGAGGAGAGGGACGTGGAGACCTTAGTGGGATACATCAACAAGTCCATTGGCGTTGACCTCAAAGCTGAAGAGGTGAGAGAATGAGGGAGACTATGATTGTGTAAGCACATAAGCGACAGGTGGCAGTGTACCCTGAGATGGAGGAGAGGGATGTGGAGACTTCAGTTGGCTACATCAACAAGTCCATTGGTGTTGACCTCAAAGCTGAAGAGGTGAGAGAGGGAAAGTGACTCATGAGTGCGATTGAAAACGGTTGAGAGCGGAATGTCCGTTATCAGCAGGTGACGTTGTGTACTCAGATGGAGGAGTGGGATGTGGAGACATCGGTGGGGTATATCAACAAGTCCATTGGCGTTGACCTTAAGGCGGAGGAGGTGAGCCAGGAACACTGACTTATGAATGCGGTTGGGAGTGGTTGACTGTGGCAGTGCTGCCTGCTGGTAGCGGTAACCCCTCAGAGACAGACAAGCGGAATGGCCCCCACACGCAGCAACGCGCCCCTTGCCCTTGTTTCCCTTCTTTTCCCCTTATTCTCTTTCAGATCGCCCGCCTGCTGACGCGCATGCAGTTGCCAGGTGGTAGAGGGGCGGAGAGTGGAGGACGGGGCGGAGGTGGGAGTGTGACAGTGCCCCCCACTCGTAGCTAGATGCCCCCTTTGCCCCTCTTATCTGCTTTATCCCCTCTGTACCCCTGTCCAAATTCTGTTCCTTTTCAGATCGCCCGCTTGTTGACGCGCATGCAGCTGCCATCGAAAGTGGTGGAGGGGCGGAGAGGGGAGGACGGGGCGGAAGTGGTGAGTGTGACAGTGCCTCCAACCCGCAGCGACGTGCTGCATCCCTGTGATATTATGGAGGTGAGTATAATGATTTGCTCATGGTAGTGGTAATGGTAGTGGTAGTGGTAGTGGTAGTGGTAATGGTAATGGTAGTGGTAATGGTAATGGTAGTGGTAATGGTAATGATAATGATAATGACAATGGTAATGATAGTGGTAGTGGTAGTGGTAATGGTAGTGGTAATGGTAGTGGTAATGATAATGGTAATGGTAATGGTGATGGTAATGGTAATGGTAATGGTATTGATAATGGTAATGATAGTGGTAATGGTAATGGTAATGGTAGTGGTAATGGTAATGGTAATGGTAATGGTAATGGTGATGGTAATGGTTATGGTTATTGTAATGATAGTGGTAGTGGTAATGGTAGGTGTAATAGTCGTGGTAATGATAATGGTACTGGTAATGGTGATGGTAATAGTGATGGTAATGGTAATGGTATTGATAATGATAATGATAGTGGTAATGATAATGGTAATGGTAATGATAATAGCAATGGTACTAGTAATGGTAGTAGTAATGGTAATGATAATGGTGGTGATAATGGTATGGTAATGGTAACGGTAATGGTAATGGTAATAGTCATGGTACTGGTAATGGTAATGGTAATGGTAATGATAATGGTAATGGTAATGGTAATGGTAGTGGTAATGGTAATGGTAATGGTAGTGGTAATGATTTACCATTACCATTACCACCACCATTACCATTACCTCTCATCTCGCAGCCGTGGCCATTGCACACGGTTACAACAACATTGCTCGCACAGAGCCCAGGACTGTGTGCGAGGGCAAGCACCAGCCACTGAATCGCCCTTCTCATTCTTTTCTGTTCCATTTCCCTCCCCAATACACACACGCACACACTCCAGGACGTGGCCATTGCACACGGTTACAACAACATTGCTCGCACGGAGCCCAGGACAGTATGCGAGGGCAAGCAGCAACCGCTGAACCAGCTGTGCGACCTGCTGAGGGGCGAGGTGGCGCAGGCGGGCTTCACAGAGGTGCCCAAGACAAGCAGCAGCCTCTGATCCCCTCTTCATCCCTCCCCTCATTCCTCTCTGCCCGTGCCTCCCTCCCTCGATTAGGACGTGGCTATTGCACACGGCTATAACAACATCGCTCGCACGGAGCCCAGGACGGTGTGTGAGGGCAAGCAACAGCCTCTCAACCAGCTGTGCGACCTGCTGAGGGGCGAGGTGGCCCAGGCGGGCTTCACAGAGGTGCTCACGTGGGCGCTCATCGCTCGCAGCGAGAACTTTGAGATGGTGAACCTGCAGGACGATGGCAAGACAGCTGTTGTTATTGGCAACCCGCGATCCGCTGATTTCGAGGTGGGTGCTTCTTGGTGGGTGTGTGTGCTCGCTTTGGGAAGGCGTGTGTGTGCTCAAGTGGGCGCTCGTCGCTCGCAGTGAGAACTTTGAGATGGTGAACTTGAAGGATGATGGCAAGACGGCTGTGGTGATTGGCAACCCACGGTCCGCAGACTTTGAGGTGGGTGGGCGTGTGCAGATAGGCCCTTGTCTATTTTTTTGGCATGTGTGTGGCACGTGGCGCTCATCGCTCGCAGTGAGAACTTTGAGATGGTGAGCCTCAAAGATGATGGCAAGACGGCTCTCATTATTGGCAACCCGCACTCTGCTGATTTTGAGGTGGGTGTGTGGGTCTGTGTGTGCGCGTGAGTGAGTGGGAGAGCAAGGCAGGGGTGCTCACGTGGGCACTCATCGCTCGCAGTGAGAAATTTGAGATGGTGAGCCTCAAGGACGATGGCAAGACGGCTGTCGTCATTGGGAACACTCGATCGGCCGACTTTGAGGTGGGTGCTGATTTCGTTATTTGCGAGTGTTTGTGGATGACCGTCCGTCGTAAGTTTTCCTGTTGATGTTCTATCCTCTTCGCCCTACAGGTGATGCGCTCGTCTATCCTCCCTGGAATGCTCAAGACCCTCGCCAGCAACAAGGACTTGCCCCGCCCTGTGAAGCTTCTCTTTGAGGTGTCCCATATCTGTCTCTCATCCCCCCATTAACCCGCTTCCTTCCACACTCTTCCCCTCCCAGGTGGTGCGCTCCTCGCTCCCAAGACCCTCGCCAGCAACAAGGACTCGCCCCGCCCTGTGAAGCTCTTTGAGGTGTCCCACCAAGCCCTTCAAACCAATCCTGCTTTTTCTCCGTCAAACCAATCCCCATCCCCGCCATTCCCAGGTGGTGCGCTCTTCGCTCCTCCCCGGAATGCTCAAGACCCTGGCCAGCAACAAGGACTCGCCCCGCCCTGTGAAGCTCTTTGAGGTGTCGGACGTGTGCCTGCTGGACGAGAGCAAGGACGTGGGGGCACGGAACGAGAGGCGGCTCATCGCCCTCTACTGCAACCTGCACTCTGGCTTCGAGGTGAGTGTTGCCGGTCAACAGTACTCTTATTGGTGACACGGTGGCACTTGCTGATGGTCCGACCACACAGGGCGACGGCCGGGATGCAAAGTGGCTTGACTCTCAATCTCTCACTCCTATCCCGCTCCATCCCCTCCTTCAATTCGCTCGCAGGTCATTCATGGTCTGGTGGACCGGCTGATGGAATCGCTGGGAGTGGCGTTTGGAGGCCAGGCAGGACCGGACGGGACAATGGCTCTTGCTGATGGGCCGGCCACTCAGGGTGATGGTGATGCTGCGAAGGCTGCCGCCGCACTCAAGTACTTCATTGCTCCCTCGCAAGTGAGTACCTGAGGCATGTGTTAACACGTTATTTTTTAGGCACCTGAAAAATTCCCACCTCAAGTGAGGCATGCGTTAACAAACACGTTAAAGCCAGGATCTCAAGTAAGAGAAATTGGCTTCAATTGCAAAACACTTGCAGCTCGAGTCACCCTGTTTGTGCAGGCAAAATTGAGTGGTTGGGTTGGAGGTTCAGTGTGCGACAGATTTCTGTTTTGCCCGTGAATCTCAATTGCAAAACAAATTGCTGTACATGAGATTTTTCGGCAGCTGAGAAACATTGCTGGGAAATGAGCTTCGGAACCATACAAGATTTCCGTGCCTAGGTGGTTCGGAAGCAGCCTGCGATTTGTGTTGGCTTCGCATCGCTCGTTTCAGCTCTCGGCAAATACTCTACCTCGTCAGCCAATAAGAGCTTAGCGCAATTCACTAACTGCAAAACAGCCAAACTACTTGAGATCCTGGCTTTAAGTATGAAGTATTTCTTTGCTGAAGCATGTTCCCATACCCTTTCTTTCCACTCGTCTCTGCTGTTAGTCGTGCAATTTGCACATATCTTTGAGTGCCATGAGGCTCCCATCTATGATCAACAAAGATCCTTCATTTGTTCTCATTGTGCCCCATTCCCTTTCGTTTCCCTAACACTCTGCTGTTCGTCCTCCAGTCACCCCAGTACTTTGGGGGACGTCAGGCCGATATCCTCTTTAAAGGGAAATCCATTGGCACTTTTGGTGTCGTTCACCCAGAGGTGTGTAGTCATGTTGATTCGCTTCATCTATTTTAATTATAATTCGTGCCCCGGACACACCTTTTCTTTTCTTCTGCTCATGATCCCTGTGTCCTGTCCTCCCTTTTCTTGGCCTGCTGTCACATTCTCCTTCCCATTCTTGACTCGCTCCCTTCCTCTGTCTCAGCTTGCTGTTTTGTTCTCTTTCTCGGCTCGCCTTCCCTCTCCCTTCCCCTTTTCTAGAGTATCAATTACATCCTCCCTCCCATCCCTTTATCATAATCATAACATATTTCTATGCCAACTTCTCGCTTTTCAGGTTCTTGCGCGTTTTGACATCCCTGATCCTTGCTCTGCTGTGGAGATTAATCTAGAGCCGTTTCTTCAGTTATAGGGGCCCTTTCCTTGAGAAACAAAAACAGGATAGAGAGACAGTGGTATGTGTGGATGCAACTACGTTGTAGGTTGTGATGTAGGATCTTCGAGGTGTGCTCGTTCTGAAGAAAGGAAGAAGTTGTGGGCATTCTCTTGCTACGAATGGTCCACTGATGCTATGGTCTTTGATGCTATCGATGGCCCCTACAGAAACAGAAAATCAGCAATTGGAAAGTTGTGCATTATTCAGTTTAGGTGCAATCTTTAGCGGTGGAGACAAAACGGTAAGCGAATGAGGTTCTGCCGGGATTCGAACCCAGGTTGCTGGATTCAAAGTCCAGAGTGCTAACCACTGCACCACAGAACCGCTCTTTGGTTATAATAAACAATCTCTACAAAATACTAGTTAAAGATTCGCCAAACACATCTCTCGAGGCTACCCAGAGATTGCCTCCTGTCGCGTCAGCCGCTGCTCAGATGAATTCCAGCCACCCAAACCGATTCAACCCATTCTTCCTCCTAGTCGTCTCGAAAATAGTTGCTTCGCTAGACAGTGTTGCTGGTGAGTTGCTGGGAACCTTTTCCTAGACTTCAGATAGCGGACTGTAGGGCCTGATTCATCAACAGCAGCAGGTCAAGAGGGAGAGACTTCAGTAACAGATCCTCATCCGATCTCTTAGCCTTACCTTCACGTTGTTGATTTCGGTTTGCTGATCCCGCGTTGTCGATAACACGAATTCCGCGTTGGTACCAACGCTGATCCCGCGTGATCGTTAGCAACTCGTTTTTATCAGATCAGGTCCGAGCTGATCGCTCCTCGCTTGGCGACTGAACTCGTGGCACTTCCTCCAACCCCATTAGGTCGTGCTGCTTCGAGGAAAAGAGGAGTTCCTGTTGTTTAGTCTTCTGCTGCTGCTACTGCTGCTGCTGTGCCATCGGATTTGGTAGCAATTCGTGACCGTTGGATCCGCATTTTGACGGTCAGATTCAGCGGGATCCTCGATGTTGGCTGGAGGAAATGGAGCCGTTTTGGCTCAACGGTTTCAGGTGCGTGCTCGCAACATCTTAACGGTTTCAGGTGCGTGCTCGCAACATCTTAACGGTTTCAGGCTCGTGCTCGCCATAACATAACGCTTTCAGGTGCGTGCTCGCCATAACTTAACGGTTTCATGTGGGTGCTCGCCATAAAACCACGGCTTCGAACACGCGATGCTCCGCGTAACATAACGGTCTCAGGCGCGTCGCTGCTAGAACTTTAAATTTCAAGCGCGTCGTGCTCGCCAGCGGCATTCCGTAATGAACTGGCGATAATGGTGACACCGCTTGTGTTTCCTCGCATTGTGCGCCTCACAACTTTCCAGACTTGATCTTACTCGAGTCGGTTGATGAATCTTTTCCCTTCCTGGCATAACTGACCCATGACTCACTGCGTTTTTAATCCGTCCATCCCTTCCCGTGCTCTCCGTTGTCAACGCATCTCCCCCTTCCGAGTACAGTACTTTCTCGATAAGTCGACCCCGCACTATGGGTACAGATGGATCGCTACACTCGTCATTGCACTCATCTACACCATACGCGTGTTTTTCCTACACGGATATTACATAATCACGTACGGACTGGGCATTTACATGCTGAATCTGCTCATCGGATTCCTGTCGCCGCAAGTGGATCCCGAGGCTGAAGGGCCCGTGCTGCCATCCAAGGGCAACGATGAGTTCAAGCCCTTCATCCGACGGCTACCAGAGTTCAAGTTCTGGTGAGTCGAGAGGATAGGGTTGGAGTCTAGGTTAGGTTAGCCTGGTGCTTCTGCTGCTGCTCCTGCTGTTGTTGCTGACGCATCTAGGCTTCTTTGTGACGTCTATGCCTGGCCCTTTATGCTCCTTCGTCATTTCTTCTATTTTATTACCCTCAACCATCGTACTTCCCACCCCCTTCTTCCTTCCCCGACCTCCCTTCCCTTCTCTCGCTGCTTCTGATTGTGCGTTTACCATTGCTGCCTCGCTCCCCTCCTCCTACCCCCCTCCCCCCTCAACACCCCCACACGTATTTCTTCCTTGTCGCGTGCAATCAGCTGACCAATTCTCGCGTTGGACAATCATCCTCCATCCCCTCATTCTTATTCTCCTCCCACATCCACACTCCCCCTCCCCACATCTCCACCTATCACCGTCCTCTTCCTCAGGAGCCCCCCTCCTCCTCCTCCCCAAACCTTTCCCCTCCCCCCACCTCTGCTCATCCTGTTCTTCTCCCATCCACACTCCCCCTCCTCACTTCTTCACACACCCCCCATTTTCCACCCACCCTCTCTTTCTCCCCACTTTCTCTCCCCCCTCCCTCCTCCTCCCGCCCTCCTTCCGGTATGTGATGTCTCCAAGGTATTCACGGTGGCATTCACATTGACCAGTGTTCCCTCCTCTCCTCATTCACATTCTCCCCCCTCTCATCCACACCCCCCATCCACACCCTCCCCTCCCATCCACACTCCTCTTCCCTATTGCTCTCCGCCTACCCCTGCCCCTTTCTCTTTATTCTCCTACTCTTCCATCCGCACCCCTCCTCCCAAACCCCCCCCCCTCCTTCCACCCCTTTACACGCTACTCTCCAAGGCGTTTCTGGTGGCGTTCACATATACCTTTTTTTCCCATCTTTGGCGTGCCAGTATTCTGGCCCCTCTTCAAACGTATTCTCTACTCTCCCATCCCCTTCCTCCCCCCCCCCTCCCCCCCCCCCATTCAGGTACACGATGACCAAGGCGTTCCTCGTTGCCAGTGCCTTTCTTCCCCATCTTTGATGTACCAGTGTTCCCTCTGCTCCCCATGTGTATTCTCCTCCTCTCCCATCCCCCCTCCCCACCCTCCCCCTCTCCCAGGTACGCAATGACCAAGGCGTTCCTGGTGGCCTTCACGATGACATTCTTCCCCATCTTTGACGTGCCTGTGTTTTCCTCCGCTCTCATCCCTCCCTTCCCCCGCTACCCTCCCATCCCCCTCCTCCCTCCCCTCTTCTTTTTTCAGGTACGCAATGACCAAGGCGTTCCTGGTGGCCTTCACGATGACATTCTTCCGCATCTTTGATGTCCCGGTGTTCCCTCCTCGCGTTCTTAGTCTGTGCCTCCATCCCCATCATCCTCCTTCCTCCTCCTTCCCCTCCACCTCCCCTTCTTCCCCTGACCTGACTCCCTCCCCTCCTTCTCCCTCTCCCAGGTACGCAATGACCAAGGCATTCCTCGTTGCCTTCACGATGACATTCTTCCCCATCTTTGACGTGCCGGTGTTCTGGCCCATCCTGCTCATGTACTGGTTCACGCTCTTCGTGCTCACCATGAAGCGCCAGATCCGCCACATGATCAAATACAAATACGTCCCCTTCTCCTTCGGCAAGCAGGTGCGTGCTCTCTAGTAGGGTTTACAGATTCAGATACAAGTGCAAGTGCTACTGAAGCGCCAGATCCGCCACATGATCAAATACAAATATGTTCCTTTCTCCTTCAGCAAGCAGGTGCGTTTTTATAGTTATGTTAGGGTTCTTTGGGTTTACAGATTCAGATACAAGTGCAGATACTAATGAAGCGCCAGATCCGCCACATGATCAAATACAAATGCGTCCCCTTCTCCTTCGGCAAGCAGGTGCGTGCGTGCACTCTAGTTTTTGTTCGGGTTCTTTGGGTTTACGAATAATTATACAAGTGCAAATGCTAATGAAGCGCCAGATCCGCCACATGATCACATACAAATACGTCCCTTCTTCGGCAAGCAGGTGCGTGTCGTGAACTCAAATGTACTTCCGGGTGCTTGGTTCTAGTTGAAACGTAAACACAAATACGAACCTGCAAACTTCTGAGTCAACTCTTGAGCCTGCAAGCAAGCGAAGCAAGGATAATGACTCTGTGTGATGAGACGATTTTTGAGTTGACTAATCACACTTCTGAGTCAACTCTTGAGCCCGCAAGCAAGCAAGGACGATGACGGTGCCCCTTCATTATTTCTCCTTTGCCTTCCTCCTGTCACATGCAGACATACAAGGGGGAAAGAAGCGCGCAAGCAAGCAAGGACGACGCCTGTGCCTCAAAACTCCCTTTGTTGTTTCCGCTTTTCCCTCCTCGCTTTGCCCTCCGTGTGCTGTCACATGCAGAAGTACGAGTGGGGAAAGAAGCCCGCAAGCATGCAAAGACGATGGATGTGCCTCAGAACTCCCTTTGTTCTTTCTCCGTTTCCCTCCTCGCTTTGCCCTCCTCGTGCTGTCACATGCAGAAGTTCAAGGGGGGAAAGAAACCTGCAAGCAAGGACGATGCCTGTGCCTCAGAACTCCCTTCGTTCTTTCTTCTTTGCCCTCCTCGTGCTGTCACATGCAGAAGTACAAGGGGGGAAAGAAGCCTGCAAGCAAGGACGACGATGCCGTACCCATAGTCAAGCCAACCTCGCTTCCTGCCAAGTCAAAGGATTAGCAGCTCTCACGCGCATTCACTGAAACCAGGCTACATTATTCTGCAATGTTTTATTTTTGCATTTCCAGTTTGATTGAGTGTTGAATAGCATGCGATGCTAAAGCTGTTCTGAACAGATTACCGTACCCATTTACAGAATCATGACGTTTGGAAACACGCGGAGTGTTATGAGTTGTCAAACAGAGTTGCGCGGAATAACGAATAACGAGGCTGTGACTCAATGAACTGACGATACAATGAAAGACATGCGATTATATAGCGAGGCAACCTAACTAGGCGGGAACCTCGGGAACACGAGGTTGAGTGCAGGTTGGGCAAAGGAAAGCCGAAGGCGACGCGAGGTTGCTTCGGCAGCAAGCAAAGCGGCCGAACGTGCACTTCCGAAAGTTGGGGTTGTACGCGGTTGAGTAAACCCCAGTAAGGAAAAAGGGTTTTTCCTTACACTACCCCCCCCCTTAAGAAAGGTGGTCAACATCCACAGCTCGCTTGCGGGCGAGGTAATCACCAAGAAGCGGGGAAGCTTCAAGCGAGGCGGATGGCACCCATGTGTCGTCCTCACTGGTGCGGTCAGTCCA